TTAGACTTAGGTATATGATTTCTAAAAAAAAAACTTATAATAAAATCAATCAAAAAAAAATGCTTAAATGCATCTATCATGTCGCAAAAAGGAGTCAAGAGAATTACAATGTTGCAACGATTTTGCAACTTACTTTCTTAGCAACAAAATCACTGAACTCATGCAAAAAAGTTAAATTTACAAAGGTGATTTTTGTCGTGAATTTATAGTTTGTCGGGAGTAAATTTACGGTCCAGACCATTGCGGGCCGATTATTGAAATTGATGGACAAAGCTTTAGACAAATAAGACAAAGGATATATGGATGGATCCTATTGGTGGAGGCAAGTGGCTGCAATGGACAAAGGAGGTAGGTAATAGACTTACTAGCGACAACCCACGAGAGACCCGATGGTTAGTTCATGATTTTCTCCCCTTAGCCTATAGAAACCACCTATTTCAACCAATAGGATAACTCCATACCCCCTATGTCTTCTTTGTCAATCGCTGTATCTATCAATGTCAACAATCAGCCCGTAGGGTTGCCACAATTTCTTTATTTTCAAATTCCTTGACTATTTTTGCTTTTCCCGGACTCGGAAATTTTCTAATTCTCGGACTTTCCCTGAACTCGGAACATTTCCACCTCCATTTTTCTCTTAAAATACGCTATTTTTCGCTAAACTTTGATTAAAATGTCCTTTTTCAAAGATCGAATGACGTAGGACAATAGGATAACTCCATACTCCCTACGTCTCATTTGCCTATAGCTTTGTCTATCACTTTTAATAATCAGCCGGCTGCAGATTGTGGATTCCTCCGTAGTGCGAGGTCGCGACACTCTCGGGCCTCGGGATTCAAGGGGGAGGAGGAACTGAACTCCCCGGTCCGACCGCACGTTTGAGTCGCGGTCCTAATTTGGACGTATTTCTACCAAACGGAACTATGTGCAATGAGACATGAGACCTGAGACCCATAAGAATATGTGCATAACAGGGCTCACGTCGTAATGCACATAGTTCCGTTTGGCAGAAATACGTCCATTTGATGGGTCTCATCGAGGACTCGCCACTCGCGAGAGCCAACTAGCGAGGGGCTCCAGGGGCGCAGGATCTCCCGCCGCACGGTGGTACAGTTTAACGAGTCCATTGGAGAAGTCGCACATGGTGTCGCCACTTTAAAGGCTTATACATTCGTCAATACGAAACGTAGAGGATTCAAAATTGAAGGGAATTCAGCAAGAAGGAACCAGCGCGATGCCACTGCGCTTCTTCATAAAGTGTTGCTTCTTCATGAAGTGGTGCTTCTTCATAAAGAGTTACTCCTCCATAAAGTGTTGCCTCTTCATAATTATCCGAAAAATCTCCCATACTAGCAAATGGTTTTCCTTCCCACCAAAAAATTGTTAATTTTAAAGGAAAATACTCGTGTAGATTTTAATACTTTATATATTTTGAGTATTTTTTTTAAAAAAAGAAGTTGCGCAGTTTTGAGAAGACTGTAATCGCTGGTTACTACCTGCTAAATGCGATCCAATCGTTCCATTAGTTTTCACGCAAAATTTACATGTTTAGAACACTCATTGAAGTTCAAAATCTGATAGAAAAGGTTTCTACAGGAGAGGTATCGATAAGGGCCAATATCGGCCTAAACAAGGAATGGACAAGACAAGACGAGATATATACAAGATACGGATTTAAGAATTCTGATACACGTTTCTCAACCAGAATATCACGTAACCCTAGAGAAAATATTACCTCGCAGCGAGCTCGCAGCATATTTTGGACCTCGCGGTTAGGAAACTCCTCGCGGTCAGGTGATGACCTTGCCAAGACCTCGCAGTGAGGAAGTCGGTTAGGCATGGACCTCGCCGCGAGGTGCTGACAGCTGACCGCGAGGACCTCGCCTCGCGGATAGGTAAGGAGACCTCACGGATAGGTGAGAGCACCTCGCGGATAGGTGAGAGCACCTCGCGGATAGGTGAGAGGACCTCGCAGTTAGGTTGGCTCCTATCCACTGGGTGAGAGTCCTCACAGTAGGTATATTAGCCAGCAGGTAACCTGACCACAGAGGTAAACCCAGGTTCAGAGCCTCATTAAAAATTAAGGATCAATTGCAGCATCTAATATATACTGATAAAAAATGTTAAAAAAGTTTTTGAATTTGAAAGAAAAATTGTATTTAATTCAAAAGCACATTCCTTGGCTCAAAACAATGTGTGTGAGTGAACTGAAATTGTTCTGTATACCAAAAAAGGGCCTTAAAATTAAACACAATTTTTTATTCATTTTTTTTTTTAGAAAAAAAAAACAAAAAAAACCTACCAATCAAAACTTTTTTAACCTTTTTTTTCCGTGAATCCTCTCACAAATGTTCTTATCTATTTCAGCATGCCAAAAAATAAGAATAATCTGTACCTTCTTTGCACATGGTCTTCCAAAATATTCCACACTATGAGGCATTCTTCGCTCCATGCAAGAATAGACAAATTCCAAGAATTCAAGGATCAGGTAGTGATTTTTAGAAAAATTGCATCGTCACTGGCCTAAAAAATTAAAAAAATAATCATCATTCACCAAGGTCACACTCAAAATGAATTGTAAAAATTTCTGAATTTTGATAGTTATAAGTGAATATTTCAAGTTAAACTGACCGATTCTTTTCATTAATTTTAAGCGAGAGCTTTTCCTTCAGCACATCAATCACACATAATGTGCTGTCCCTTCTCCTTCAAGCAGGAAAATACTCATTGGAGGGAGGAATTTTCTTCAAATTTACAATGTCTAATTACTCTGGAACTGTACTCTTTGCATCAACTTTACAGTGAAGGTAAGTGGGCATTTTTAAAGCCCAAATTTAGCATGTCAGCCCTTGCAGTTAAGTCAGTAAGTAAACGCATTTTCCTTACTGCTTCTTGATTATGGTCTTATGATGCCGAACTTTTCAAAGTACTATCCATAAAAATTCAGAGGACAACCAGTTAGTGACCACATACTTTTTCATTTGTTTACATTTTTTCATTTATATTCTTATTTAAATTCAGTGGATGAAATTAAAACAAATTACAACTGGAAACCAAGAGGTATGTAAAAAAAATTAAAAATGTTAATCACCTTACAAGACTTACTCTGATCCTTTCTTTTCATGTTGACTCCTATTTTTTTCATGCAACCTTGGCAGGGAACAGTAGGACAGGGTCGCATATTTGGCCTGATCATCGCTAGAGCTTCGGATGGTCCTAACAAATCCTTCAACTTCTGCAGTTCAGTATCTGGAATCAACATATCAGAGTGAACAAGTGATCCTTTAGATAAATGAAAAGTTTCCTTTTTTTTCCATTAGGTAATTTCACCATAGTTAATAACTTAGGGAATTGTTGGGAAAAGTCAGAGAATATCTGAAACATCCACTAATTACTTAAACATTACTGATCTAATTACTTAAACATTACTGATCTAATTACTTAAACATTACTGATCTAATTACTTAAACATTACTCATCTTCCAACTGATTACTCTCCTTGTCATTTTTTAAAGTTTGTCATCTGTTGACCTGCCACTGAATGCCTTTATACCTAAGTCATTCGATCTTTAAAAAAGGACATTTTATTAAAAGTTTAGCGAAAAATAGCGTATTTTAAGAGAAAAAAGGAGGTGGGAGTGTTCCAAGTTCAGGGAAAGTCCGAGGATTAGAAAATTTCCGAGTCCGGAAAAAAGCAAAAATAGTCAAGGAATTTGAAAATAAAGAAATTGTGGCACGGGCTGATTGTTGAAATTGATAGACAAAGCGATTGACAAAGAAGACATAAGGAGTATGGAGCCATCCAATTGGTTGAAGTGGTAGATTCCTGTGGACTAAGGGATAAAATAATGGACTAACTATAGGGTCTCTCATGGATTGCCGTTAGTTAGTCTATATTACTTACCTACTTTGTCTATTGCAACCGCACTCGCTTCCACCAATAAGATCCCTCATCCTTTTCGTCTTCTTTTTCTATAGTGTTGTCTATCAAATTCATCAATTAGTTTGCAAATGGTTGTAAGATTAGCTGGACCGAGTTCATCGGAAAGGATCCAACCCACATAAAGTTGAAACCGATAAAAAGAGGTTTGAATTCGTTGTATTCTTGCATAAGACTCAATGTAAAAAATAAACTTTAACCCCTCTTTTCAAAAACTGATTTCTGATTTTCGACTTCCAGTATTTGGCTGGAGAAAATATACGGCTAGTGGAACACAAAAACATTTTTAACTTAATGGAAAATTTGCAGGTGTCTGAAATTCGATGAATTCCGTGTTTATGTGGATAGGCACTGTTGAGTGAACTGATTGCAATGATACCTGCGGTTCATAAATTAGACATTTATTGGAGGAGATAGGACAAAATAACCTAATCTGCTAAAATACATGCGTTTTAATGGTAAATGCCGCCAGATGACGTCACTAGGCGGTGCATTTTCTCACTTTTAAATATATTTTATACTATTTTTGATATCAGAAAAAAGTTATAAAAAATACTGCGAAATCAGTTTTTTAAGCACTCTTAAATGAAGTAATAATAACTTTCCGTGCAAATTCTCCATTGTTTCGAAAATGTGTGTTCGTCTCTTTCCGATGAACTAGGTTCAGTTTTCCTCGTGAAATTTCAAAGAGAAAACCTGGTACGCATCAGTGGCGTGGCGTGAACAATCGATTATCGATATCTCGCCATTTGAAACTATGGTAAAGAATCGATTACTAAGGTATTCGCTGCGAACACCCTGATAATCGATCTTTTTTCATAGGTTTAAATGGCATAACAATCGATTTATCGCAATTCACGCCACGCCACTGGTACGCACTGCTTTGTTTCATAGCTTGTCCAGAGGCCCATCTTGGAAGTGGGCCGGCTTTTGCCGTTACCCCTTGTCTATGTCCCTCCCTCGGAGTTTTAGTCAAAATTTTCGTCAACTCGTTCCCTTGTGCGCCACTCGGGCGAGTATCTCGCCGAGAGCTCCGACCGGATCACCGCAGTCTCACGCCTCGCTCCGTCCAGGCCGACGCGTATCGCCCTTCGCTCCTCCTTCTCTCGAGAATTCGCGCGCCCCACCAACCACCCACCCCCGAATTTTCCCAGAAAAAACTTTCGGAAGAATCCACGCAAAACGCGGTATAAAACTGTAATCAAGTCTGTAAATTACCTGTTCGATTTCCGGTGAAATACTCACAAGAAACTCAGCGCGCCTTCACGTCAGTGGTTATGCAATTTAAGATACTTCACTTAACATATCCGTACATCCTACCTTAAAACAGTGTCAATTAACTGCTTTTGACAGGGGGAAAACTTGCATTAAAGTTTGTAGCCATCTTGTTCGATTCCCAGTGAGATACTTTCAAGAAACTCAGTGCGCCCTCACGTCTAGTGTTTACCCAATCTGAGATACTTCCCTCACTATATGCGGATATCCCTACTGAAAGAATTCAATTAACTGCATTTGAAAGAAAGAAAAAAAACTTTATTAATATCGGTACCGATCTTGCTCTGTTCATCTAGGATACGTCCAAGAAACTCATTCCGCTAACTTGTTAGTGGTCATTAAATTTGAGACTTTTCCCTTAATATATACGGATATCCCTACTAGCAAAAGTTCAATTAATTTTATTTAAAAGGGGGAAGCTGTTTATAACCCTATAGATATCTTGTTGGAGTTGGAGTGGGACACGTGCAAAAGAACTCAGTGCGCCTTCACTTCAAAAAGTCTGCAAATCCAGCTACTTTCATTAATTTACATTCATCTTCGCTATGAAAGGAATGTCAAATAACTACAGTTGAACAGAAAAGAACTTTATCGAAGTCCTATTTAATTTCTACCTGTGCAATCGCCAGTGAAATATATACAAGAAACTTCAAACGAAACAGCGCGCCTATACGTAGATGGTTGAGCAATTCAAGCGACTCGTACGTTGAAAGAAGTCAAGTTTAAAACTAATGATTGTTCCGGTTAAAAAGTCGTAATTTGAAGAAAAAAGAGAAACATCTTGACGAAACCTTTTCGAACCCGCTTGAGTTTGGTACAGTGAGATCGCAGTCCAAATACGAGCAAGGTAGTCAGTGCCCCTTCATTTTAATGGTTGGGCAATTTGAGCTACTCGGATACCGAGACTGTTTTATCATGAATAATTAGAATATACACACAGTGAGTTACAGCGGCGCTGCAAATATATTTTCTTAACCCCTTTTGAACGATCGCGCACACCAAGTTGGTCGACGGTTTGACGGGTTCACAGCGACTCGAGGACTGAAATTGGACCCTTTAGCATCGAGCTTCAGGTTAGATGCATCGCCAAGTCTTATGAGTGAATGATTTTACAAATGTCAGAAAAAATACAGGCTGCCTTGGAAGCATCTATGTTAAGCCACGTGTGCGAGAGTAATGCTACGGGCGTCATAAACTGAATTCGACTTGAAACTGTTTTCAACCGGTCTGTGTGTTCTTATTCTCCTTCAAAACGGGTGGAATTAAAAAATCGGTCTATCTCTCTGAAAATTTGTACCATACTATATAAAGACATTGAAGCACCTTACTAGAGGTAAGTAAAAGTGTATCTTGATTCAATATCTGGCTTAATATTTCATAATTTAACTGTCCTTGTTACTATAACTTGGCCAACGCGCCTTTGCTAGGCACAGTGAATAACACGCATTTTAGTGCCTCGTAAATTGGATAATCGGTAATGGACCAAGCTGCTCAAGAACGCACCGAGTCACATTTTGGACAAAAATGAGTTTTCAGTAGTTTTCAATTCGCAGAAACATCGTTTCGTGTCAGAAATTCTGAGTCGAGAGCAAATATTTTGAATGTGAAGATAATCGTCAAACTTCGTCTTCAACTGTGAGTCTTCAGGAAGGAATCTTACTTCAAACCTATTTTTCTTGGTTCAAACTTGGTTCGGCTTCGTGCATTTTTCTGCTAAACTCGATCCAAAAAATCATCAGATAAATTGTCATACCTACAGAGGTGAAAATTTGCGCTTTTGGCATGAAACCGATATGAGTCATCTGTTTTATAATGTGTAAATTGTTTGTGAAGTTTGTCGAGTAAAGGTCTTCATCGGTGAGGAAATTTCATACGAATTAGTTGAACAGGGTACTGCGTTCAAACACTGCAGATTTGGACTACCTTTTGCAATAAGGGACTAAATTTTCTGGCTCATTTTAAAGTAAAATCGAGTTGTCTTTGAAACGAGCCAGAAATTGTCATTCCTCACCGCAAAAGTTCTCCTGGTCGCTTTTATTCTGCTTTTACCGTCATAAAGTTTTTGAAAGAAAGCAAATTGCTACAGTCGAATATACGCTTTGACTCGGAATCTTTTAGCTATATCTTGGAGGTTTCCCAAATTGATGCTTCCTGTAGGTATCATAATGCATAGCTGACTTCAAAATTGATAGCATTTTTTGCAGTGAAAACGCATTTCAGCGCCTAATAAAGTCACTGTTCAAAATCCCGGCGCGAAATTCACGCTTACTCAGTTGCTATTTTGAGCACCTGTTACTCTGAGTGCATGGATCCGGCGCGAAATAAGCTCGGCGCGAATTTCGCGCTCTAGCGGGAGTGAAAATCTGACAGGCAAACGTACAACGGAACTGCCGCAGCATGGATTTGAACCAGAGTCGCGGCGATGATAAACGAGTGCTCTACCACTTTGCCATTCTGCGCTCGTACTGGGAGACCTTGAATTCACGCTACTTGAGGTACCTCAAATGGACTGCATTTTGCAATTTAGAATTATAAAGTCTGGTTCTTATGGAAAAACACTTATGTGCATAGGGAAACTAATGGCACATACGTTGTTTTTAAACCGGGCGAGAATTTATCGTTCCGAATTGCAAAATGTAGTCCAAATAATTCGTCCGTTGTTGGTGGTTTTTACGCTCTGATCTATTCACTCAGAGTACGGCGCGCAATTCGCGCTGGATTTTTTTTTTCACGCCAGCCATTCACTCAGAGTAAATCATAGATAGTATTCGATACATCAAACGGGTGAGATTGTATCGATATCGATTGGTTCAAAACATAAACACAGCCTCAAAATTAAATTCAGAAATCTGAGGGAACGGGTCTCTTGTAACAGATTTTTCATTCTTTTGAGTACCAAATGCCAATGTAGTGAGAAATTGTCAGGAATTTTCTCATTTTCAGCTTTTCCAACTTAAATCCTTTTAGTGGTTTGGTTTGAGGTTACGTTCTATTGTTTTGAACCAAACGATACATCGAACCGTTATCGAATATGGTCAATTGATTTTTAACGGTGTTGGATGAAAAAGTAGGCAAAGAGAAAGTTGTCACACAGAGGTGACACGTAACGATCCTCTATTCGGACGTATTTCTGCTGAATGGAACTAGAGACGGGTGGAAAAGAAGGAGTGTACTAGTCAGTTGAGGGCCCCAAGAAAGACTGGGAATTATAAAGCGCCAGTGACGTCACCGGTGACGATGGAGACAACGATTCGCGGATCTGAGTCTTAGACTCATGAGCCGTATCCACAAGGCTCTTGTTACATGCCAACGGCTCAAGAGTTAGCATGCTTTGGCTCTTGGTTCCTGTCGATCAATGTCCAATCTCGCTTTTTCATTTGCCCAAAACGGATCACACCCACTTTTCCATTCTTATTCAGCTTGTACGTCACACAGTTTCACGTTTCCCATACGTCTGTAGTTCCTCACAGCATGAATACGTCCATTTTGAAATTCAATCACGGTTAAAATCTTTACATCTGTTTGTCCTAGTTGTCAAATATATTATCGATGGAGAAATTTTTTCTAAATTAGTGCAACAGGCCACCGAGTTCATTTGTTCCTCGTCATCGCTACGAGTCTGCTCAAGGTGTCATCAAGTTTTCGAAAGAAGAATAAAAATTAGAAATCCAAAGTTTCGTTTAGCTTCGACACGCTCGGAAGTTTAATTTGTCCATTCATTTCATTAAAAAGTTGAGGAACTCAATCTCTTCCGCCATATCTCTTTCAGCGGAGAGCTCGGAGTGGCATTGCTGCCTTTGAATAGACGCTCCGACTCAGAGTCTTTCAGCTATCTTGGAGGTTTTCCAAGTTGATGCTTCCCAACAACTATTCGTTCCGTAACTTACGTCTTGTTCCTCCAATTTTGATGAAGATATATCTCGTTTGATGGTCCATGCCCTGTTTTTTCATATTTATGGCGGCGCGCCCGATACGCGAAAGTCGGACAGAGATATGGTTTATTGTATGAGCGATCTCGTAAAAGTTTTCACTGCATTCGGTGTTCGAAAAATAGGGATGTACATGCCAGCGTTTCCGCAAACTACTCCGTTTACATTCGACTTGAAACGCTCAAGGTTGCAAGCGACAGCAGTGGCGTGGCGTGCATTGCGATACATCGATTTATCTGCCATTTAAACCTACGGAAAAGGATCGATAAACAGGGTGTTCGCAACTATCTCCTGAATAACTGGTCTTTTACCATAGCTTCAAGTAGGGAATCGTCGCCAATTGATTATTCACGCCTCGCCATTGAGCGACAGGGCAGACCGGGGAAGTCAGGGACTGTTGGCCGCATGGTCAAGGGATTTTCGGATTTGAAATGTCGACGCGAAAATTGGACCGAGCTACTGGCTTGTTATGGTGTAAGATTCCATTTTTTCTCCAGTGACGAGAAATTCAAGCATATAGGGTAATACTGTGGTATACTAGGGTATACTATGGTAAAAACAAAGGGATAGAAGATAATCAGGGACTTTTGAAGCACGTTGTCAGGATTAAGTTGTCGGTAAAGTCAGAAACCGTGAAAAAGTGAGGAAAGGATGTACGTTTCAGCGTACGCAGTAACGGGTGCACTGGAAAAAAAAAACACATTGGATCTAGAGTCCAGACTCTTGAAAACATTAACAAGAAAAAATACTCTTGATTCAATCAGATTTTTGCTCAAATCAAAAGGGAATCCGCTCAAATTAAGAGGCTTGGTTCTTGATTTAAGCAAAAATCCGATTGAATCAAGAGTGTTTTTTCTTGTCGATGTTTTTAAGAGTCTGGACTCAAGATCCAACGGTTTTTTTTTCCAGTGTGTTTTTTGAAAGCAGAGTAATAGGAAGAAAAAAGGAAGGAGGAGGATGAGAAGGGGAAGAAGGTGGAAGAGAAAGAGAGGAATCTACCTCATTAGGTAGAAGGAGAGGAAGAAGTACCTAGGAAAAAATACGACGAATGAAATATTCGTCTTCCGCCTCCATCCTTTCCTCCTCCTTCCCCTTCTCCTTCTCCCCCTCCTTTTCCTTCTTTTCCTCCTCTTTCTTCCCCTTTCCCTCTCCTTTTTCCCCTCCTCCTCTTTTTTATCTCTCTCTTTTCTTTATTCACCTCTTCATTCCTCTTCTCTCTATTTGAATCTCTAAGAATAAAAACACTCCAACTTTGAAACTCAAAAATGCCCAATCTTCATTTCCCAATTTTCAGAAAAGCCATCAAAGAAGGTGAATCCATGTCAACTTTGACCTTTAAAGTGCTCCAAAATCCTTGCACTGTGGTACCGAGANGTAATGACGCGCCTTATCAACACATTGTGTTGGAGTTCACTGCTTGTTTCCCCTCCTCCTCTTTTTTATCTCTCTCTTTTCTTTATTCACCTCTTCATTCCTCTTCTCTCTATTTGAATCTCTAAGAATAAAAACACTCCAACTTTGAAACTCAAAAATGCCCAATCTTCATTTCCCAATTTTCAGAAAAGCCATCAAAGAAGGTGAATCCATGTCAACTTTGACCTTTAAAGTGCTCCAAAATCCTTGCACTGTGGTACCGAGAATCTTTTTCTCGGTCCAACTTCTTCATCCATACTGCCTTGTTTTTTGAGTCTTTTGAACATGTTCATTTTTCCGAGTTATTTGATTTCGCATCGTTTTGCTCTCCTTCTTATTCTACTCTCCCTCTCCGTAGTTCTCTTCCACTTCTTCTTCCACCTCCTTTTCCTTTTAATTTTTACTTCTTTTCTTTTTATTTGAAAATATGTTCAGCCTTGTTTCCCGTTTTTTCTCCCATGTTTTTGATATCACCATTTGTGACGGACTGCTGTTTCAGAAATTTCTAACCTTTAATTTTTACCCCATTCCGTTTCCGGCAGCTTCATGCGACGATACGTGAGGAGCCCAAGGATGGTAGTCTATGAAACTACATGTAGTTTTAACCTAATTCACACTCGACACGACTGGGACTCCTTACGGGTTCCGAGGATGGCGCTCCTCGCGTTAATTAGCATGATGCACTCGGCGAGCGTTAGCCGAGCAAATTAAGGGCGACGCGCTGAGAGCTCTCGCCGAGAGCGCGAAATGCGCGGGGTTGCGCGCCCCGTCGAAATTCATGGCTCGCATTAAAATTCCAATTGCTCACATTAGAGGGCACTTATGGGTCGTTTACGGGGGTGGAATACCTTCCGAGAGAGAACTGGACGTCCGAACGCTGAGAATGAGAGCGTCCGTCGTATCCGCTCAGAATGGGGCTGTTGCGAACTTCGCTCGGAGTAAAAATAACAGTTTCGCTTTCAATGGCATACGGCTCGCAAGTGAACGATGA